GTTGGTTGAGAAAACCGAAGCTTGCTTTATAACTTAACCTTCGGGAAGCTTGAGCCAGCACGTGAGAGAGGCTTAAATCAAGCCTCGCTGAAGCAGCAGCACTAGGCCGCATTTGAACTAGTAGAAAATAAAAGGCATTCGAGGGAGGAAACAAGCTTAAAATAAAAATTTATTAGAGAACGACAGCAGATGGCATGGAACCTTTCAAAATAAACTAGTTCCGGTGTGTGAGGCATGGTGCGCCGGCTGACCCGTAATAAAACCAAAAAAATTCAAAGAAACATCACTCCTGAAAATGACACCAATGTCCTTCAGAGAGATAGAACTGCGAATTCATAAACAATCCAGAAGCCTGTAGACATCATGTAATGATTTAAACACTCAGAAACTCCACCAACATTAGGGGAAAAAGCGTTTATTTTCTAACAAAGCTTGCAACTCCACTCCTCCTCCTCAAACTACCACCACTGGGCAGCCGACGATTTCCCGCCATCCAGTTATCCTTCACCCGACGACTGTTCTTCGATGCCTTAGGCGGCAAAGACACCCCTCCAAACCCACCGCCCGAGCTTTCCAGAACCCGAATCACCGCCCCTCCAATTTTGATATCCCTCGGTCGCTTCTCGACCTTATCAAGGAACTTATATTTTTTAGGCATTCGCGTAGCTGACGTTGAGTTACTTTCATATGGAGGGGTGGGGATGTTGTGGGCTGAAGATGGTTCTGCATTCAGGATCTCGTCGGGGAGTAGAATGGGAAGCGGATGGATGAATTTGGACGTGGAACCCTGTAACGTCGCAGAGCTCTCGGAAAGGATTTCTTCGTGTTTTGGGTCAAGACTGGAAGTTTCATGATTACTCTTCGGAGGCGCAGGCCGTGCAACGGCTTGGGCTTGGGCTTGGGCTTGGGCTTTTAGCTGTTGATCCCGCTCTCTTCGCTTTTCCTTGTGTAGTGCTTTGGTCCTGGGACATTAAATATTAATTATGAGTCTCGAGGTATTTAGAAGAACGGGAGCACGTGATATAATATGAACCTTTGCTTAGACTGAGCTTCTTTCCTGGCAGCCTCTTTCAATTTCCGTAGCTGTACGGCGTTGTCTATTGTTTCAGGGGCCTCGTCATCATCGTCACTGTCCTCTGTCTCGCGAACTCCCGTAGATGTCTCTTCCTCTACGGCAGGCTCATGTCCTCCATTGGTCTCTAGACTCGGTTCCTCGCTCCCAAAGCGAACATGCGTAGATCTGGCAGCGGAATTCGTCATTCCATTGTAGGGTTCTTTGACTTGGTCTGCGGTATGATCCCTTTTCTCCTCTTCGGAGTGCATATCGGGCCCGACAGTGTCATTTGAATCAACAGTACGGTAGGGAAGATTTTTAACACTGGTTTCTACGTCATCATCCACAACTTCAATGGTTGCTGAGCTGATGACTTCCGATGCCCTGCTTTTTTTCTTCCGTTTGGGCGCCTGGCTTTCGGTCTCTTCTCTTGCGGAGGCACTCTTCCGCTTCCCATTCGTAGCGGGGGATGAATACAAAGCTTCTACAGGAGTAGTCGCAGTGGTAGAGTGGAGGGCGGTGTGTCGAGTAGCAGACACCATGTCCGTTGGGTTTGGGGAGGGCGATATGGCTGGTTCGGCCCCTGGGTCGTGTCTTGTAAAAATGCCTCGGGCAGCTGTCACAATATGAGATAACATAAGGAAGAGGAGAAACGAACAGCAAGTTTACTACGTATCCTCCGGTTGTTCATCCGAGTGTTCCCAATGGTTGTTGCTGTAGGGCGAGCTCCTTATTGAATCGTCACTTTAAGTAGGGCAGATTTTTGTCATCGGAGCTATGATTATCCGAGGGTTTAGCCCTAATCTCTTATCAGATCGATCTTGACAGCTTCCATACATATATATTTACAGTCGAACCCCTTGAGGATTTGAAGCAATAGAAAAATATACTGGACAAAAGTATAAGTATGCGCTTGGAACAAAAAGGCACCTACTTCGTACATAATAGTGCAGGTATATTGTGTTGATAACTAGCCAACTTCTAGATAACTATATGGGTCTTATTGCGCCTTTCATTCACGAGAACCCACGAACGTCGTGCATATACAGTTAGATGGGAAACAAAACAAGAGATAAACCCCAAGAACCGCAAACCGGAACGCCATCACATAGATTCCCATAAACAAATCCCTTATCCTTTATTCCTAAGGCCAAATCCAGGCGAAATCAAGCATCATAATACTCCTCTGCAATGCGTTTCCTCTCCATAGCCTCCTCCTCCGCTGCTAGGTAATCGTCTTCTCCAAGGTCACTAACCTCATCCCACATCTTGTCAAATTCATCCGCGTCATTTCCCGGAACAGCCCACATGGACTCTCGTAGGCGCTTGTTCCGCTCTCTATCTTCCTCGATCCGCTGCTCGATCTGGCGCTTGTCAACTTTAATGCCACCCGGCCTTGACGTAAAGCCTTGGCTCTTTGACGAATCGCCGCCTTCAGAGCCTCTCTGGCTGTCTACTTGCTCCAGATCAAGAAGGTGTGCCGGGTGGCTTTCCCGTTCCTTGAGACATGCATCGATTTCGCGAACAGCATCTGCAGATAGATATGATTTCGCTTGCAAGCCGTTGAGAACGCGGCGGACGTGTTTAACATTTGCTGCACCAGAGCCGTCGGATGGCGCGACTGCGTCGACTACGCGGAGGATATCGCGCTGGATCATGCGGACGAATTCGAGGTGGTTTTCTTTGCTGGCCATATCACATAGGTGCTCGATGAAGTACATAATGTTGGCGCGGTTGTTCATGCTATTCTGATGATAAGAAGGCAGACCAGGAGTTAATGTTATGAACGTTCTTCAAGATATGTTGCTGTTTAAAAGTTTTCGCGGGGCTTCAGTTACCATTTCCAGTTGCTCCAGAATGCAGGAGTGGAGATCTTCGTCCATGTCCCGGTATTTGAGGGCATAATGGGCGGCTTTCTGGGAAGAGGTGACGGAGGCGCTCAGATGTTGAAGCTGCGTAGTGAAGCGCATGCGAACCTCGAAGGGGTCAGCCATGTTGGTTGCTGGGGGTGGAATGGCAATTATCAAGTAGCAGTTGGTGTTTCATAGTGCAATCATTCAAATGGCCATATTTATACTATTTAATACTGATGAAAGATGCTGCGAGATGAATGCGGAGAGTTGGGTGTGTAGAGAGCGGTGAAGCTAATTTTGGTTGCGTTGAGCTGAGAATGAAGGGGCAGAAAAAAAGTTCAGCCTGCAAACAAAAGTTTGCTCGGTAAGTTAGTTATTAACTAATGACGAGGACAACCCAACTTCACTCGTTATCATATCCAATTATCCGCATTTGCTGCCGTGTAAAACCCATCAAGTATTACAGTTTAGTCTTAGTTGATTCTGAGATATATTTTTCTGTTCAACATTATCCACCATGTCTGTCGCTCACAGAAACATTAATATCGATTCCATAAATCTAGCGCAGAAGTCCGGTCTGACTCTGACGGTATTAGGATGCGGTAAGGGGAAGATAACCAACGTGTTCCATATTACCCTACGGGCAAATTCAAGAGTAGTATTGCTAACAAAAATAAAACGTATTGCTTCAGGTACTCTGGGAATTGCCATATTATCGGGCATATTTGCCTCTCTCGCAGAGGCAGGAAGTCACTCAGCATACCCATCGGAGTCCGGCACCACCACACCCTCAGAAATGGTCCCACAGCAAAAGATCCCCCGTAAATTCATTGCCTGTGTACGGCGACCCGAGTCTGTAAAGCGCGTCCACAAAGCTCTCGAAGGTTTCTCCATGCCATTAACCGTGGTACAAAATGAAAACGTCAAGGCCGTCGAGCAAGCTGAAGTAGTCATCCTGGGCTGTAAACCATACATGCTTCGGGATGTGCTTGACGAACCGGGAATGTGCAAAGCGCTCCAGGGAAAGCTTCTGATAAGCATTCTGGCCGGTGTAACCGTGGAACAGATTGTAGACACTCTATACCCGCCGACATCTTCAGTTCCAGAATCAACCCGCTGCCGTGTTGTTCGTGCCATGCCCAACACCGCTGCTCTGGTCCGCGAATCCATGACCGTCATCGCCACCTCCAACCCGCCTCTCCCCGAGGAATGGAATGTGCTGATATCCTGGATATTCTCCCGGGTGGGACGGGTTGTAACACTCCCGCCGTCCATGATGGATGTATGCACATCGCTTGCAGGCTCTGGACCCGCATTTGCCGCACTGATCATGGAGGCGATGGCAGACGGGGCTGTGTCAATGGGTTTACCGAGAGCTGAGGCACAGATGATGGCTGCCCAGGTCATGCGTGGTACGGCTGGTATGGTTCAAAGTGGTGAGCATCCGGCGCTGATTAGGGAGAAAGTCAGCACCCCTGGCGGATGTACGATTGGTGGGTTGTTGGTGCTGGAGGAGGGAAGGGTTAGGGGGACGCTTGCACGATCGGTTAGAGAAGCAACCGTTGTCGCGAGTCAGTTGGGGCAGGGCATTCACGGTGTGAATGCAACTCGATTTTAAAGCAGAGATTTTTGGATGGGTTTGTGGAGGCTGATTCCTGGCGATACTGGTTTTCTTATTTTCTTTATTGACATGTGTTACTGGGTTTGTATAGACAGTCAGGGGTATAGGCCTCGCTAAGGCGTTTTTATTTTAATCGGGATGACATGTTCTTGTTTAACGATGCTATGAAACCGGTTGCCGTATGCCGTTCAAGAGACAGTGTTATTCCTGCTTACTAGGCAGTGGTAGATATTGTAATCCATGGCACTATAGAACATATGAGACGTTGAGTGTACTTGTACAGGTGCAATTCGCGCTTCGCCCATCTATAGCATTGTATATACCCTTATTCCCCAAGAATTCCCATAAAATAATTATACACATACAACCACCAGTACTTGACAAGAATAGAGATGAATAAAAAGGATAGTTAGCAGCAAAAAAACAAAACCAGGAAGAGCTCTAAAAATCCCAAAACTCCGCTAGAAAATTCTTAAAGCGAGGGCCCAACATCAATAGGACTAAACGTTCTTACGTGGTGCCCGTGATCATCATCACCTAGTAGACCTCTTTCCTCCTCAGTATTTCCTTCCCCAATTTCATTGTCTCTAAAGCCCTGAGCCCTCCGTTTCTGAGCACCTTCGATGATGTACCAAACATCCTTTTTGGTTAAGAATCCTTGGAGTATCCCTTTGTTGACAAGTAGTATGTACCGAAGACCTAGCCTTTGAAACATATTAACGACGATGAGGAAGCTGGCGCGGCTGTTTAGGGTAATGGGAGTTTGGTCCATCCATGGTCGAAGATCAAGGGTTTCAAGTGGATCGACGAATGGCTGATGGACGAAATAGGCTGGGGTTTCGAGGGATAGGTTTCGGGAACTTCGAGAGGTGACGGATTTGAGGGCGTAGGACAGCTCGTTGCGAGAAACGTAGCCAAGTAGGGTGGGATTGGACGTATCGGAAACGACCGGGAATCCACGATAGGATGTTGTGTTGAGAAGGTTTAGGAGAGTGTCAATGGTGTGTCCGACGGCGGTGATTACAGATAGGTCATGAATGCTTGTCATGACTTGGCTTACTGGAACATCGGGAAGGATAACGTCGTCTTTTTGCTCAATGAAGGGGTATTCGTTGAGCTGGATCCACGACTCGTATATTCCTCGTTTCCCAAACGTATCCCCACACCATTTTGAAAGCATCACAGCAATCATGATAGGGATGACATAGGTGATGGCACCTGTAAGCTCGAACATAATAACAATTATCGACACCGTCATCCTCGTTGCGCCTCCAAGAGCAGACGCGGCCCCGACAATCGCGTAGGTTCCAGGAATAATACACGGAACGTCAGGCTCACAATTCCGGAATAGCAGCAGGTTCGGTTGCGCCTTTTGCCACATTTCAAACGCTATACCAAGAGCTCTACCCGAGAGAGCTCCTATTGCTAGAGAGGGAAGAATGATACCCGCAGGGATATCCAAACCAAAGGTAATTGATGCGAGGAAGAAACCTAGAACTGCCGCAAGAAGTAAGAGACCAATGACTCCCAATGATGCGTCTCCCGTTTTGCAAAGCCCGAATTGATCATCCGGAACACTTGCGCACTCTGCGAAAAGGTAATAAACAAGCTCAGAGAGTTGGGCCCTCATGAACGTATTTGGGAAATTAATTATAGCACTGACGAGCGCTACAGCGACAACTTGCAGAATCGGAGAAGAGAGATTCCTCTCCTTTCGCCATCTGGTAACTTTCATGTTTACTTTGATGAAAAAACCGCCGTACAACCCACCAAATATCCCGAGTAAGGCGAATGGGAGCAGCTCACAGCGGTGCCATCCACGACTGTAAGTTACTTGGTAGAGAACAATTTTTCCTGTTCGAAAGGGGTTGAGAGCATGCAAAGTAACAGCCGCAACCATAGCACATACGAAGCTCTGCCACATTGTCTTGTCCGGGAAATAGTATGAGAGTTGCTGGGGGAAGGGGAAAATTAGCCAATAGCTAGCACAATGATCGAGTGACTTATTACCTCTAAACTGAACAAGACACCTCCAATAGGAGAACCGAAGGCGACAGAAATGCCCGCAGCCGCAGCAGCAGAGAGAATCTCGCGCTTCCTCGCTGCGACATGTATATTAGCAGCGTTATTCTCAGCATGTTAATTATATTGTGGCTTACCCTCATTATGATTTAGGCTGGGAAAGGGTTTCATGATCAAATTCGCACAGCAGCAAGCAACATGAACTAATGGGCCTTCTTTCCCAAGCCATAGTCCCGATGCGACAGCAAGACACTAGGAGACCTGTTAGTAAAACAAGCAACCAATTTTAAACGAAGGAAATGATTCTTACCAAGCCAAGAGATTTGACCAGCAACGTCCATGTCCCCATGAACTTTTTAATCACAAAACCACCTAGGACAACTTTTATTTCCGGAATACCACTATGCTTGGCATATATTGCGAAATATTTGACCAGAACACTTGCAGTTGTTGCAAAGAAGATCTATAGTCAAGGTTAGTCAAACCCAGTGGAAAGTAAATCGACGAACTTACAGCGTACAATATGAAAATGATATATTCCAAAACATATCCACCACTCTTAGAGTTAACATGAAAAGCCTTACGCCACGGTATCCAATGTTGACACTCGGATAAGTCTTGGGAGTGGGTTAACAACAGTGGATAAGTTATAGGGGTAATCCTATCACAAACCTTCATATCCCCAGCAACAAAAGTTTTTATTCAAATAAAACCTCCCTCCTTCAGCACCAGTTCGACAGTAGCCAGTCTTAATATCTCCAAGCCAATTACTTACGATATCTATACACGCGGCTATGACGCCCGTTGTGATCCCCGTTACAATAAGAATAAACCATATATTGCTTGCATCCAGGACTTTCCGAACATAGCCTATAAGACCTTTGTTGCTGGAGTAAAGATGCCGAATCCGCTGACGCTCCTTGGAGTACTCGAAAATCCAATCAATAGCCGTTAGGTTGTCATATCCTACACGCCGACCAGGTCCCTCGACATACCAGTCAAGAGGGCCTCCGGGCTTAGATCCCTCTAGTCCTCCATTAGCAGCAGTCGTATTTGCGGGTGGCGGGCTGTCATTTGGCAATGTGCCATCCCCGTCACCAGCATGATTGTGTAGAGTGGGGTGCGCGGTGGTTTCGGAGGAAAAGAAGGTAGAAAGGGCAAACCGAGATGGCTCCTTTTGTTTGCGTTTGAAGGAGATTCTGGCACATAGTCAGCTAAGACTCAGAAGTCGACGGCGCATGAGCTTACGGCTCATCAAATGCCTCCACAAAGGGATCGGTCAAAAGCGCCGCTCCGGCCTCCAACGGAGTTGAAGTTGAGCGCTCCTGGGTGCTCTGTTGGTCGTCGGCGGTGCCAGGTTGAGGCAGCTGGGAGATACATGGATTAACAGGACCTTGTGAGGCATTTAAGCCTGATGAGTTCGCTGACATTGTCCGTCATGGAGACACTGGCACAATGCTTGGGGCTTTCTCTCGGTTTGGGTGATGTGATATACCGGTGTAGCTGGCCGTTGTTTTTCATTGACGTTATCGCAACGGTCATTTAACATCCCAGGCTGTGGCTTGTGCGTGATTGGCCAGTGTGTCCAAAAGACGAAGATCATATGACTCTGATTGGTCAGACTAAAGGCGGTGAAGATTAAAATCACCACGTGATATCTTGATTGTGAGGCAGAAAATAATTCAAGCATCAGAAAATTTCTTGAGGTTGAAAAATCGATATTCTTAACATAGAGCTCCGGAAATGCCTTTGTTGGAAGATAAAGGCTTTTCAGATGTCTCCTGAGATGGCGCAAATAGCTGGTAACGTGGGGATTTTACCAGAAACCCATGTTTTAGAACAACTACCGCCTGAACTGATAGAAATTCTCCACACTAGCAGTTCGAATCCATCCTCATACCATGATACCCTGGCACTCGCAGCATTACGACCAAATTATACCAACACACTGTTTTCACTATATGAACCAATCTTTGTGGATTTGGCTGCAAGATGGATTTCCTTGGACTCCCATGAATACTTCGTGCGAGTCATAGCTGCATTTTCACGAATTTTACCTTTTGCGCCTTACCTTAGACCATTTGCAGATGTTGCCTCAAGGGACCTCAAACGTGGTGCCCTACCCTCCCCAGAGGAGCCGGGCAAGTTTGGGAACCTGCAGGTGGAAGACGAAACCCTTATTTCTCTCCTCCTTGCTCTTTTTCGCCTCCTTAGTTTCGACTTGGAGAGCTTTTCGCCCATAGTCTCCCCATCCCAACTGCAGTCACTCTTTAATCGGTCCAATAATGTCATTAGATATCTTGCAATACGATGTTTTTGCTTGTACATGCGTGCTGCTGACGCTGTGCTCGAGAGAATGTTAAGCAAGTATCATGATGGAACCGCAATCAATGGGCCGTGGGAGGATAGAATCATTGATTACCGCTTCCTGAGTATTTGGGAAGAGAAAAGATGGATTGGACTCCAGAATGAACTTGAGAATGCACGAAAATCACGCGATGATTTAGTTGTGGAAGCTTGGATTAAGCAACTTCGAAAATACTTCACTTGCCATACTGCCGAAATTGGCGGTGTTCTTATTCCGACGATTCATCAGAGGAATAACATAAAAGTATCCTCTCTCGTGGAGACACCAATGGTTCTACGGAATCTCCGCGCTCTCGGTAATTCTCTCCTTTCAACGGATCCTCTGTTATTGGTTGGCCTGCCTGGCGCTGGAAAGACCTCACTCATTAATGAGGCTGCCATTCAACTGGGCCAGTCATCATCCATGGTCACACTTCATTTGAACGAACAAACAGATTCCAAAAGTTTGCTAGGGGTCTACTCGACATCATCTCCGGCTGGTTCATTTTCTTGGCAACCCGGCGTTTTAACGAGGGCCGCCAGGGAAGGAAGATGGGTTGTGATTGAGGATTTAGATCGTGCTCCTTCCGAAGTACTCGGACTTATTCTCCCGCTTATTGAAAAGAGGGAATTAATCATCCCGAGCAGAAATGAACGCATACGTTGCGCCGATGGCTTTAGGGTCATTGCTACAATGAGGTCTTCTATGAATGCAAATGGGAAGGAAATAACTCCAAGTAGCAATATGTTGGGGAATAGACTATGGAATCGAATCCAAGTGTTACCGATGCCCCCCCGGGAAGTTAAAGAAGTTATTATTCAAAAATTTCCACTTCTTTGTTCTCGGGTAGAGATGATCATGAATATGTTCAACCGTATCACATCATTATCCAACGGTGCCGATTCTCGAAAATTTATGACGGGGAGACAACCTAGTCTTCGTGACTTGATCAAACTGTGCTACAGAATAGAGCGGCGTCTGCGGAATCTTGGATGTGAAACGGGCTATGAAGCGGTTCCCGATGGAACTAACGACGAAATCTTCATGGATACAGTAGACTGTATTGCGGCATATCTCCCTAAAGGGCTTCTTCAATTAACTGTGACGGAATCTATTGCAGAGGAAATGCAGATATCCCCGCAGCGGATGAAATTTTGCTTGTCCGAACGAACCCCAAAATATCTAGATTCTCACAGCATAGTGACAATCGGAAGAGAAGCGTGTCAGAAACGCAAGGGGCTTGGTTTGTGGAACGTTGTTCCATCGATGGCGGACAAGAGCACTTTTGCACCCACTCGAGCTTCTCTGAAAACAATGGAGCAAGTTGTCTCAGCCTTGCAGCTCTCAGAGCCAATTTTGCTCGTGGGAGAAACTGGAATTGGCAAAACTGCAATGATACAGCAACTTGCCTCCCTCTTGCGCCAGCGTCTAACTGTTGTAAATTTGTCTCAACAAAGCGAAAGCACGGATTTACTAGGCGGCTTTAAACCGGTGAATATTCGATCACTTGCTGTCCCCTTGGTCGACGAGTTCACCGTCCTGTTTGAATCCACCTTTTCAGCTAAAAAGAACCAGAAGTTTTTATCTTCCGTTGCCAAATGCGTAACTACCAGCAACTGGCTTCGTTTAGTTAATATCCTCAATGAGGCTGTTAAGATGTCATACAGCGTCTTTGAATCGATGAAGAAAAACAAAACCGAAATGACGGATGGCGGCTTAGAAAAACCTTCGAAGAAACGGAAACTCGACGATTCCAAGTATGCCAGCCTCCGCCAAAAGTGGGAGGTGTTCTCCAGGGACTTAAAACACTTCGAAGTCCGTGTTTCGGAGGGGAATAGCAAATTTGCTTTTGAATTCGTTCCAGGGAAGATAGTCAAAGCTTTGAGAAACGGGGAGTGGGTGTTGCTCGATGAGATAAATCTCGCCTCCCCTGACGCTCTAGAGAGCATCGCCAGCCTCCTTCATCATGGAAGTGATGGATCCCCATCCGTCCTTCTTTCTGAAGCTGGGGAAGTTGAACGTGTTTATGGTCACCCGAATTTCCGAATTTTTGGAGCCATGAACCCGGCAACAGATTCTGGAAAACGAGATTTGGCTCCTGGTTTACGGTCTAGATTTACGGAGATATACATTAACTCTCCTGATACTGAAATCGATGATCTTATAACTTTGATAGACGCCTACTTGAAACCATTAACGAATGCAGACGAAAAGGTTACTATCGCTCTTGCTCGTCTATACCTTGATACGAAGAGGTTAAATGTGGAGAATAAACTGGCAGATGGCGCCGGCCAGAAACCCCATTTTAGCATTAGAACCCTTGTTCGATCTTTGATTTACGTGAGGAACCAAGCGCATATTTATGGACTCCGACGAGCGGTATATGAAGGATTCTGCATGAGTTTCTTGACACTACTAAGCAAGGAGTCCGAACTCCAGATCATCCCTCTTCTGGATCAGTATATATTTGGGAGCCTGAAGAATTCTCGATCGGTTTTGTCCCAAACTCCCAAGCCGCCTAATGATGGCATCACTTATGTTCGGTTCAATCATTATTGGATGAGACAAGGAGCATTTTCGATAGAGACCCAACCCCATTATATTATCACACCGTTCATTGAAAGGAACTTGATGAATTTAGTGAGAGCCAGTTCTACGCGACAGTTTCCAATTTTGCTACAAGGTCCAACTTCTTCTGGAAAAACTAGCATGGTAGAATACCTCGCTAAGATTTCAGGCAATCGATTTGTCCGAATCAACAACCATGAACATACTGACCTTCAGGAATATTTGGGATCATACGTATCTGGCGAAGACGGCAGCTTGAGATATCAGGAAGGAATACTAGTGGAGGCGCTGAGGAATGGATATTGGATTGTTCTGGATGAACTTAATTTAGCTCCAACTGATGTCTTGGAAGCGCTCAACCGCTTGTTGGATGATAATAGAGAATTATTTATCCCTGAGTCCCAGGAAGTCGTTCATCCGCATCCCAACTTTATGCTATTTGCAACCCAAAATCCTGCTGGTCTCTATGGTGGTCGGAAAGCGCTTTCCCGCGCGTTTCGAAATCGATTTCTAGAGCTTCATTTCGACGACATTCCTGAGGACGAACTAGAATTTATTCTCAAGGAGCGATCACAAATAGCTCCTTCATTTTGCACAAGAATTGTCTCTGTTTATCAAAAGCTTTCCCTGCTGCGACAGTCGAGCCGGCTATTCGAACAGCGAAACAGCTTTGCCACGTTGCGTGATCTTTTCCGATGGGCGCACCGAAGAGCCGATAACCGTGAAGAATTGGCTATCAATGGTTTTATGCTTTTGGCGGAAAGGGTGAGGAACCCGAAAGAAAGGGCTGCTGTAAAGCAAGTGATCGAGGAGGTTATGAGGGTAAAACTTGACGAAACAACCCTTTATAGTGCTGAGAGGCTGGATACGCGGCTCCAGGAGCTTTCAGCTATTGCTCCAACAGGTATAATATGGACACAAGCCATGAGAAGGGTGTTCATGTTGGTTTCACGAGCAATTGAACATAATGAACCTGTTCTTCTTATTGGGGAGACTGGATGCGGTAAAACCCAAATCTGTCAAGCTATTGCAGAAATATATGGAAAGCAACTTTACACCATTAACGCCCATGTTAACCTCGAGACTGGTGACATCATCGGTGCGCAAAGGCCCTTAAGAAATAGATCTGCGATCGAAGGACAACTTTTGACGGATCTGTCATCTGCGTTGAAATCCGTCAACGCATACGATGAAAGCAGTGATAAGTCTATCGACAATCTAACACGAGCATTTTCTACCTTGACCACCCGGGAATTAGATATGTGCGAGCCAAACCTGGTGAATCGAATACGGGAAAATATGACGAGAGCGAAAGCACTATTTGAATGGTCCAACGGCAGTCTTATAACGGCAATGGAGTCTGGTCAGCACTTCCTTCTTGACGAAATTTCACTTGCGGAAGACTCAGTCCTGGAACGTCTTAATAGTGTTCTCGAACCCCATAGGTCTTTGCTTCTTGCCGAGAAGGGTCCTATTGATTCTTTGGTGGTTGCGAAAGATGGATTCCAGTTTTTG